CTGAGGCTCTCGCCTGCGACCACTAAGTTTGTCGCTGTGACTTAGTGGACGCAGGCGAGGATCGCAGTCAAATTAGTGGTCGCAGGCGAGAGCCTCAGACTTAGTGGTCGCAGGCGAGAATCGCAGTCATAGTGGTCGCGAGACCAGGTCGCAGGCATAGTGGCCGCAGTCTTCACAAATCTCACTTTTAAAATGGTCTATGGAGGGTTATATGTGCGCGTATAAGTCTGGAGGTGTATTTCGGGTACATAATATTGACAATGGTTTAAAAGGTACTAGTTGAATATGAGGTACCTGAAATAGTAATACACGTCCAGACGCGCTATATTCTGTCTTTACACGGATTCCGACGCTTTGTTGAACTCGTATCTCGTACTCTTTAGATACAAATGGACGGGTTTGCTTTTCAGGTAATTAGAGCTTTGACCTCTTGTCCTTTGATTGCGACGGATTGAATCGCGCACGTATAAACCTCCATAGTCCATAGACCATTTTTTTTAAAGTATAAAACAAACAAATAATAATAATATGTATATACATTATGTACGTAGGAGTGTTCGATTATCGATATTGTTTTATTTTAAAACAATTACAAAACAACAGAAGAGGCAGAAGGCATAAATCACTGAATCAGAAGGCGGCTTTTGTATGAAAAATATTTCTTTTTAAACCCTACTACGTTTTGGGTTATGTATGTACTGATTTTTGTGTGAAGTACATATAGTACATGACGTCATGACGATAAACGAACAGCTCACGATTTTGGTCTATAAAAAAAAACAAGATTTACGGATAGTTTGTTCATAGAAGGCTATGGGTAGTTCAACAGGGCATACCATTTTGTTGCTGTGGGTTCGCTGTTAATACTTGTCTGTATGTGTGGTTTGATCAACCCTACGCCAGACTCATGCATATAATAATTTTGGTTTGAAGTAGCACTGCGCCTTTAAATATTAAATAAATCTGTGATCATGTTTTCTGCCATCAGAAAGATACGTCAGTTAGTTTTAAACAAGAATACTAGCAAGGTTCTTGAGTGCTCGTACTTACCGCACACGCTGCCACGTGTGCGAGTGGCAAGTTATTCAATCGCCTTTAGTCAAAGCAAATCAGTATATTCCACAACCTCGACAGATAGTATAAAAGTGGATGGTCTATTTGCACCCTTGCTGACACGGGCCACGACATTCGGAGACAGGACCGCGATTCTGGACACAGACGGTATACTATCCGTCGAACTGAATTGTCAATTAGGCTCACATAGGGTAGTTTGTAGTATATTGCTTGCTGAGCATGAATGATAATAAATACAATTTACTTTGTGAAATTCTTAGCAGTTGCCACGTAGGACCAATTTGTTTATTGAATACATGGCCCAACGCTACTGCGACTGTCAATTACACAAGAGTTTGTCAGTTGTTGGTTTACACTGCTTAAGCCAAGTTTGTAAAGGTTTAGAACATATTCTTGTGTAAGTAAGAACAATCTCAATTTTCCACAATGGGCATGTTTTCGCCGTTCTCTATTACAATTTGCTACTTTAGTTGGCCGTTTACCCTACAAAGTAGCTAGATGTGTACAATAAATATAGTATACATGCTGCAGTTTTCAAATACTCGCGTCGTAGTCTGATGTGCTTATTCACAGTGTTCCAGAGATGTATATACAGCCAGAACGGAACTTAAGAATATGTTTTCGTAACTCACATATGGTATGTTCTACATACAGGGGCATACACTTATAGGGATTTGTTGAGAGACTCGGCCGGCTTGTCAAACACCATAATTGACAACGTACACGCACCATTGGAGCAGACCAAAGAACCTACCGTTGCATTCTTGACCCCTAGAGACTACTCATATACAGCAGCGCTATATGGCACATGGTTATCAGGTAGGCGTTGTCCATTTTTGGGCAAGTATCTACTGTACAATACTTCTTTTTATATGTCTCCATACTAGCACAGAGATATATTGATTATTACTACACGACTAGTAGGGTAAAGTATGAAAGAGTTGATTTAGAGTCCACCTTTTGCACAGTTTGTACATTGCAATCTGTGGCTATAATTTTGTTTCTCTCTGGATAGTACTGTATTTATTCACCCTCTTGTTTCGTCATGTTCAATAAAACACCGTAGGAGCCATTGCCGTGCCCCTGTGCACAAGCCATCCAGGTGAAGAGTTGGAATACGTGCTACGGTATGAACGCATGTTTCCGTACGACTTTATATATGTCAGCTAGTGGGAGTATTGATTGGTTCACTGCACTCACATATATTCGCTTTATTAGCAAAGTTAGTAGATATATAAATTATATATATATTTATATATACATATATATATATATATATATAATAACAATTAGAGAATATATATACTATATATATAT